AGTTTCCAGAGGGAGTCTCAGAAACTACAGGAAAAGCCGACAAGTTTCAATCCATTTATCAAAGCACTTCAAGACAGATGAAACAGCAGAGCTGCTTGGTGAGGAATGTCTCTCTTTCTGGGTGTCCAGAGCATTTCAGTAAATAAAAAGCTCTTTAAAAATAAGTCAATACAATGGAATCCCTTTTGCCTTTTGCCAGCACTTGTATTACACTTACACCCAAATGACCCTCCTACCTATAATACTGCAGCATTTACATACACATCAAATGGGTGCCTTCCACTTACATAACACATTTAATCCAAGGATTACAGAGCACATAATATATTAAACATTACAACACTTTGTGAGGTAGGTTAGCACTAATGAAGCTGCAGTGGGTAAACTGAGGCACAGGCTGGCTTTATGACTTGCCTGTGGTCCCACGGGCAATCAGCGGAAAAGTCATTAAGACGCGCTTCAGACAAACAGCAGGCACGCATATGCACATGCTCGCATGGGTAAAATAGGCTAACCCACGTTTTTCAAAAGCAACTTAGCTACCCATCCGGCAACGCTCAGGCCCCGATTTTCTGAGGGCAGGAGAACAAAAGGGAGAAGATGATAAAAAGAATGGAAAGCAAATATTTGCTGTTAGAAATAACGGGGGGTTTTTTTGTATGCCAAATCATGTACGCAAAACAAGAGGTATCCAAAACTGAAGCACACTTTATTTGCTGGTCTCCACTGATTTGATTTTCTGAGTAAAGATTTTTCTAGACCTGCAACAGGGGTTTTGTTAGGGTTTTGTTCACTAACGTCGGTTTATATTTAGCTTTCGTATAGCAGATAGAGGGGAAAAAAAATCTTTGGTTAAGGTCTTTGAGCCAAGCATCTAGGATAAAATTTTCAAAAGCACTCAACAGTGGCTTTTGAAAACAGAATTAGGCTAGTTGCTGAGACAAGCTTTGAAAGCTACCCCCTACCTCCTTTAGCATTTTAACTGAGAGCTGATTTCCTCGGTTATGGTACCATTCCTCGTTTTAGTCTCCCCATCTCATGGCCTTCACCAGTCAAGTTGGATTTAAAACCAGGAAAACAGGTAGGAGACTGGGCAACGTGGGAGCTTGTGGTCATGACCTCCCCGGCATGTCTGCCGCCCGAGAGTGGTGTAGCCGGACACAGGGATGCTCCCTGGGTGGCTCCCACTTTCCAGCCAGCCTTTGTTCTCTTTGTGGGAGCACTGGCTAATAGAGGTGTACACCCTCCGCCTGATGGTTAGGTGAGGCTATAATTACCTCCATAATAAAGGTCTCATTCTTCCCTGCTCTGCACCTCCTCAGCTGGTCAGGAATACTTGTCTAAAGTGGGTGCAAAATGCTACCAGATCAGAAAGATGACATTTTACATCAATGGAAATGACCAGGTATAAGGAACAAAGGCCGACATAACAATGTTCTCAACTCTGTTGTCCTTTAATTAAGTAGTTCCTCAGGCAATGACTCTAATGAGGCCTTGTTTCCTAAGGGTTGGATTCTCTAGTATCTAAATGGGATGTGAGCTTTTCCTGGGGAGAGAGGCATTTATAATTTCTCCCTCCCAGGTAGGGTCCAATTTGGGTGGATGTCACGCTGCAGCCTTTCTCTTGGTGGGGACGCCAGCGGGACTTCTCTCCTCTTGGCTGCTCATTTTCCTGAAACCTACAGGAATTTTTGAGAGCTCTGCTCTTCTATTAAATTTGGCTGAATTTGGTCAAAAGGCTCAAAGTTAGCAGGGGATAGGAAGACAAATGCATCAAATGAGACTGAGCAAAGTCATAAACCTGTTTCTACTGAGAAGGTTAAATATTATTTTTACATACAAGTAAGTTTTCTAGTTGTGTGGTAAACTCACAGGGTATTTTTTTTGCTGCTTCGGAAGCCATGTGTGGCTGCAACTCCTGCAAGCAGTATCGATAAAGGGAGTAACGCACGAACGAATACACGCAAGCAGGGCATGCAGCTCAGGGAAGAGGCGACGTTACGTAGCTGGGTGCAGAAGAGAACTGGAAAGTTCATTAAATCCACAGAAGCAGCGGTCATGTTCACTGGGGACGGTGCTGACCGGACAAGGTCACGGGTCTGAATGGAGAAAGCCACTGAACAAAGAAGCAGCGAGAGAAGGTTTGCTTTGGGTTTGGTCCAGGACAGCAGTCACAACACGGCACCACGAAGCTGGCCCTGCAGGCTGGGTGTTGCGATCAGCCTCTCTGGCCACAAGACAGCAGTGGCAGCCCCCCTTTCCTATGCAGTTTTTAATGGCTCAGAACTGCTTGAGGCCCTTCAAAATGCATAAAACTTCCCCTTTCTAACGCTGCTCCCTGGCAGGACAGGCATCCAGCTAATGCTTTCACTTCACATGTTCCTGAGTGTCCCATTAACAAATAGGCACCGGCCTAGTGAGAAACCTGGCATTGGCTTGCAGAGTCCACGTCCTTCATTGGATAAGCCACCCCTGCAACCTACTATCTCTTCTTGTGATA